GAAATATTCTTCTCATTTAATGGTCTCTCCTGCATTTTAATGTCATATACAAATACAGTTTTAGATTTTATTCTGGATCTGCACTTATTGAGACCTCTTGGTATTTTATTTGTACATAAGCTCTCAATTCATCAAGCTGTAATGATCGTCTACTGAGTCTTATTTCATTTTTGTAAACTTAAACTCTTGATTTCATTTAATGTACCCTTCATGCACAAGATCTCCACAGAGGCAAGTGGATACTCTGATGATACAGTAATATCAGGGATCACATTGATTTTGATACTAGATGCTTTAGCTTCTACTAGGAGATATCAGGTTAGCTCCTAAACATCTTACAACACACAGAACAAGCTTCAAAATGAAGAAGCATTGGTCTAACACATTAATAATGGCAGGACTGAACAAAGGAAGAGGCCCTTTAGAAATTGCTGATAGCTGGGTTGGCTCAATGGATTAGTAGCGAAGAAAAAGGACTACTCTTGGAATGGACCCAAGTTCAATTTCACTCAATCACATTGAGCAGCTTACAAGCTCATAACTTCATGTAACTCAGCACCAGGAAGATCAAGTATCTGTACTCCTCATGTGCATGCATGTACAGGTACACGGACACACACACACACACACACACACACACACACACACACACACAGGAAAAATCAATTAAAATGAAATATTTAAAACTGGATAATTTTATTTTTGTCATGGCTGTACCATATCCACAATGTGAGTGAGTAAGTTAGAAAATGATTTCTCTATTTTCCCTAATCAGTTCAACCATTTAAAAAATTAATGGACTTGTATACATGCATGTGATAATATTTAGATATAATCTAAAGTATTTATCTATTTCTTCAGAATTTAATTTTTCCCTATAAATATTTATTCTCTTCCTTTCTCTGTGTCTCTGTCTCTGTCTCTGTCTCTGTCTCTCTCTCTCTCTCTCTGTGTGTGTGTGTGTGTGTGTGTGTGTGTGTTGGGGTATGCACATACATGATCGATGTGTAGAAGACATAACTTGAGAAAGTTTTCTCTTACAGAATGTGAGTCACTGGGACCAAATATGAGGAAAGTACCTTAACTCCTTGAGGTATCTTTTAGGCTGTATTTGTGCATGCTTGTTATTCAAGATTGAATTTCTTTGTTTGGAATTGTTGTTGCCCCATTCAATATGTATGTTAGTTAGCTTTCTAGTTCTTGTGGCCCAGAAATTATTAAAAAGCGACTTAAGGATAAAAAGGTTTACTTGGACTTAGAGTTATAGACTGCCATGGCATAGAAGGGATAGTCACAAATATATGAGGCATCTGGTGAACTTGCAGTCATGTATCTAGTCAGAAAGCAGAAAATGGACAGGAAGTGGGCAAGCCTATAAACCTTCAATGGTCTTTTCTATAAACACTTTCCATCAGTTAGGTAACATCTTCTACATTGTCTGCAACCTTCAAGAATACCATCATAATTTTAAAATAAGTTATCAAACAAATTAGCCTATGGAGTATATTTCATACACAAATATCATCATCATTTGTTGACCACATTATCAACTCCTGAAAATTTGCAAAACAAATACTTTTGTATTTGTATTTACTCATATTTATATTAGTAGAAAATTTTTATCTCACTTCAAACATTTATATTTGAAATTATATATCATTTTGTTATAGGTCATTTTTAAATGTTTTCAATTGAAATTGAATTGCATTAGTTTTACCTCTTTTCACCCTCCAACTCCTCTCATGTAGCCACACTCTCAAGTTGGTAACCACTTTTTCTTTAGCATTGTTAGACACACACCCTTACACATGGGACGGTTTATTCACAAATGTATATAATATAATTTGCCGAGTCCAATTTTTGTTTACATGTATGGGTTTTAATATTGACTACTCTGATTAGACAATAGCTAAGAAGGCTAATTCACAGAAAATCCTAATTCTCCTCTAAGAATTCAACAATTCATTTCTCTAGATGTGGAACCCTACAAAATTACATATCCATTGATAATTGTTATTTCTGTCTTGTTTATGCAGTTATTTCTATGACAGACTGGTTTACAGTATTCTCACTTATAATCTTTCTCTCTCCTCTTTGTCAGTGTTCTCTGAGCTATAGATGCAGGGAATGTGGTATACATGTATCCTCTGGGGCTGAGTTAACCACAATCTGTTGATATTTAAGTTTTTCTTCAAGGCTTATATTGGAAAACTTCATATTACAGGAATAAAAGTACACTTAGAAAGATACAAAAGGATCTTCTAGTAGTCACATTGATACTTTCCAAGATTTTCTTAGAACTATGGTGATGAATTGTTTTATAAAAATTTTCCTAAGTAATTTTGAATCTATATACCAGATAATAGATCAAACAGCCTTGTGCAAACACTATTCCCACTGCTGTATATTCCTTACTCTAAGTTATCATTTTTAAAAAGTTTAATACAATTATGTATATGGTGGCTATTAAACCTAAAATGTCTATTCTGTGATTAGGTATATTGAACAGTTGACACAGTGCATGCTTAACCCACATAAGGCATTGGGTCAGATACTTATATTGTATAAGCTAGTTATGGTTTAATGGCTTACATTTGTAACCACTGCCCTGCTGACATGGAAAAAGTTTGATGATAGCGTGTGACACAAAGATCTGTCTCAAAAATACATTTGTTCATATAGTATTTTACTCTATTTCAGATTCTATTATTTATGACAACTCCAGTAGTCTAGATTCCACTTATTGTTAATATTTCTTTAGCTTTGATTTTATCATTATTATTATCTTATGTGAAGTCATTATTATGATTGTTTCAAATTTATTTGAAGTAGAACTTGGTCAATAAAATGAAATATTGTAAATTGTTTCAAGGTTTGTAAATAATTGGAAATATTAATTATATCATATATCATAATTGAGGTAAAATTTAAACTGTCTTTTAAAGATTTTTTTCAAGATAAAATGACTCCATTTTCATTATTATGGTACTATTTGAATAGTTCTTTTACAAAGCATTATATAAGGCCTTTCTGCCTTTCAGTACTGAAAGGAAGCTTGAAGAGACCTCTAAATCTTAAACAAAGGACAATGCATTCCCTAATACTTATCTGATTAAAACTTATTATATTTCTGCTATGCCAGGATACAGACAGAGTAGAATATAAGACAGTGTCCTGTGTATCAATTTGCCCATTATCTCTAATGAAGTTAAATAATGCATGAGGGACTACAGATTGTAATAATAAATATGCATTAAAATTCCTAACGATGCAAAGAATGCAGTGAATTTTTATTCATTTACAGACAAATAACTTACAACTTTTTAAAAGTTAAATTACCCAGATGATTATACAGTTTGTGTGAGTGCCAAAAAATGTAAAATATGAGTTCTTTTAGGGAAAATAATTAACAACCTTTTTCTTATCAAATGATTAAATGATTTCATTAGGAAAAGGAGATCCAGAAAAAAAAAGAACAAAACAAACAAAAGAAATGGAAATGAAGTAATAGCCAAATAGACAAGGCTTCTGAAGGCCTATTGAGTTTGTGAGCTTGGAAGACACTCTTACTGAACCAGATTCTTAGTTTTATCTCTGTGATTAAACCAGCATGCTTCACCTTGTTATCAGAGTCTGTACCTTTGACGTTGAAGAGCTGTCTGTAGTCTCCAATAATTCCTCTGTGCTTGTTTAAAAAGCATATGTATGTATGAATGAATGTATGAATGTGTTTATGTATGAATATGTATATATATATAAAATAAAATCGCTCTGTGTAGTCCATATATAATAGGAATGCACAATAGGCTGACAACATTGTCTCTCAAAAGTTTTTAATCTTCAATATTAATTTGAAAGTTAAACTTCTTGTGACAGTGTGGTTTGAAAGAAAATGCCCCCCAAAGGGAGTGGCAATATTAGGAGTTGTGGCCATGTTGGAGGAAGTGTGTCAGTGAAGAGTCAGACTTTGATGTCTCTTTTGCTCAAGGTTTCCTCAGTCTAACATTAAGCCAACTTCCTCCTGCCTTCTGGTCAAGATCTAGCGTTCTCAGCTCTAACAGCATGTTTTCCCACACACCTTCTTCCATGCTCACCATCATGATGCTAATGGACTGAAGTTCTGAAACTATATGTGAGCCCCCTCAAAAGTTATTTTATTATAAGAGTTTTCCATGGTCATAGTATATCTTCATAGCAACCAAAACACTAATTAAGAAAGAAGTTGGTATTGTTGTGATTGGCTGATTGAGATATGAAAGCAGTGCACCACTATAAGTGCTGCTTAATGGACCATAATTGTAGGAACATGGAATATAGGGTGCTGAATGAGAAGTGATGAACTGTGGGAGCTGCCTCAAGAAGTTTCAGAGAAGAATTTTTAGTATGCTGCCTAGAGATCATTCTTGTGATATTGTGGTGAAGAAACTGGCTGCATTTTGCCCTTGTTTGAAGCATATATCTGATGCTACAGTGAAGAGTTTTGGATTAATTCTGTTGGCAGAAGAAATCACTAAACAGCCTAGTATAGACTCAGTCTTGTGGCTTTTAGTGGTAACTCTCTTTTTGGTTATGAGACTAGCCATCTCTCCAGCCCTAGCGGTACCTCTAGATTTATAGTAAAAGTGAGGTAGCTGAGCAAGGCAAATTACAAATGTAAATTTGAGGAGAAAAAGAGCTCTAGGAAGTAGAATACAGCAACATTTTATTTTGAAGGAGATAAATGGATTAAGAAATGAAGTAAAGGGAATAGACTGTTAGAGTATGGGAAATTTTGATATTGGACTGAATGTATGTTTGCATTATTATATAACTATAAGCCATTGTGGGCCAGAGAATGGAATGTGGTGGTTTGACACAAAGTGCCCCACAAAGGAGTGCTACTAATAATAGGATATGTGGCCTTCTTGGAGGAAGTATGTCAGTGTGGAGGTGGACTTTGAGGTCTCTTTTGCTCCAGTTTCCCTCAGTGTGACTTTCAGTCAACTCCCTGTTTCCTTTAGGTCAAGATGTAGCACTCTCAGCAACAGCAGCACATTTGTGTGAATGTCTGCATGTTCTCTGCCATGAATATGATGGACTGAACCCCTGAAAATGTAAGTGAGCTCCCTTAATTTAAAGATTATTTATAAGTGTTGCCATGGTCATGGTATCTCCTCATTGAAAACCCCAAGTTATATGGTAACATACAAAAGGTTAAGATTTGCTCTAAAGTTTAAGAACAAGTATGTGGAGAGCTGCGATGCGCCGAGCCAGAAGATGGCGCCGGTTTCTGCCTTCCACCATCCTGAGGGTGAGCGCTCTCTGGAATAAACAACTCCTTATTTGGCTTGGTCTAAGATTCAAACTTGCATCAGCAAATGCGAGCCTATCCGCCTTAGCCATGTGGCGTTCTGGGGTTGGCTGGCAAGAGTGCTTTTAAGCTGTGGGCTGGCTTTCCCCGGGGTCAGAAGATTGTTCAAGGTTCCTGAGTATACTGCTTAAGGAAGAGTCTCAGCGTTGCGTCTTCCTTGCTGGTCGAGGCGGTCGCGACACAAGTATATTTGAGGTTACATCTCAGCAAACTTAGCTTAAAGCAAAGAAACAGCAGGTATATTTGACTATGTATATCTATTTTAGTCACATATTTTTAAAAAGTCAAATAAATTGATTTTGAAAATTAATGGTCTTGTGAGCAAGCGTACATATCATCATGCATGCCCTGGCTTCCTATGTGGATTTAGTTCCAAGTCCATTGTCCTGCTGCCTAGGCACATGTGTCTAAAGTCAGAAATTAACAAGCTTTGAAGAGCATCATGTATTGATTGATTTTGAACAGCAGGGTGTGTTTGTCATAAACATCTGAGTTAATACACCAGAAAAGTAAGATGGGCTAGAAAGATGGCACAATAGTTAACAGCTCTTACTTTTCTATCAAAGGATAGGAATTCAGTTCTCAGAACCTGGTCAGGTGGCTCACAAATGCCTTTATTTCCTGCCTCAGTGGAATCCAATATCTCTTACCTGTAGGTATCTGCACTAACATGTATGCATGCTTGTATGCACACACACAAGAACACACATAAATGTACGTAGACAGACAGACATATGCACACATGGACACAAAAAAATTAAAAAAAAATAATTTTTAACCAAAGTTAAACATAGTAACTTCACCAGGGGATATCAGGGAATGAATTAATTGTCAAATATCGAGATCTATAAATATCTAAATTCAGAGCAATATTAATCACTATTTCTGATATTATTAATCATTTTGTTTTCATCTTAATGAAAGATTTTTTATTGTTGTTCCTTTATTTAAAAAATTATAAGCTTAGCTGGGCGTTGGTGGTGCACGTCTTTAATCCCAGCACTCGGGAGGCAGAGGCAGGCGGATCTCTGTGAGTTTGAGGCCAGCCTGGTCTCCAGAGCGATTGCCAGGATATGCTCCAAAACTACATAGAAACCCTGTCTTGAAAAACCAAAAATAAAATAAAATTAGAGTTTAAAAAAATATCAGCTGTAAAGGTTAAGAAAAGCACCCTTATTAGAGATTGAATCTAGAAGATTTGAGAATAATATGCATGGTGGAAGAGTAAGAAGGAATTGAGGAGGTGAAAGGTGGGAGAGAGAAGGAAGGAAATAAAGAAGGAAAGAAAGAAGGAAGGAAGGAAAAAAAGAAGGAAGGAAGAAAGGAAGGAAGAATTAAGGAAGAAAGAAGACAATATTTGTATTTAGTGAGAATCCAGGTATTTCTGAACTCATTGCAATTGAAATACAAAACAGTCTTATAGAGGTGTTGAATGTTAATAAAGACAGAGCCTAAGTTGGCTTATGAGCCATTTTTCTTATAGGTGTCATTAACTGACAAAGATATCTTGAGAAAGAAGGAGTTAATTTTGACTGTTTGAAAGGAGATAGTCCATTAGGACAGGATGCATGTGAAGGTACCAGAGACTTTGACTGTGATATGGAAGCATAAGGCATCTGGGCACATTGTGCCATGTACAGCAAGCAGAAATTAATGCTGGTGCATAGCTGAGTTTTCCCAACTTTATTATTTAATCTTACCCTATTGCTTATGAGAGGTGTCCCTTATGTTAAGGACAAGTCTTTCTCCTGAGTTAAATGTGTGATTCAGGAAATGCCCTCATGGAGCTTCTCATATGGGTTTCACTAGCATGATTCAAAATCTAGTCACCTCGATAATGAATATTAACCAAATGTTTGGAGGACTAAAAGTAATAAGTAAAGCGATTTGTTAAAAGATACAATTGTCAAAACATAAAGACATATGGTTTTTTAAAAAGAAAATCAATGCTAATTGTCTTAGTTAGGGTTTCTATTGATATGATAAAACACCATGACCAAAAAGCAAGTTGGGGAGGAAAGGTTTTTAGGTTTACAGTACAGCATTGCTATTCATCACTGATGGAATTCAGGACAGGATCATAAACAGGGCAATGTCTCAGAGACAAGAGATGATCTAAAGACTATGGAGAAGAGTTGCTTTTTGGCTTGCTTCCCATAATTTGCTCAGCCTGATTTCTTATGTAACCAAGGTCCATTAGCCCAAAATGGCCCCACCCAAATGGTCTGGGCACTATCCCTTTGATCAGATGAGAAAATGCCTTACAGAAGTATGTCATGGATGTATTTTCTCAGCAGTTTCCTTCCTCTCTGATGACTAGTTTGTGTCAAGCTCACACACTAAACAAGCCAGTAGACCAATTATGAGATTAAATTAAAGGAAAGGTTAAAATCTTTCACAAACTGTGCAGAGACATAAAGTTGGTGTGCATGTAATAGTGGGGGAGATTTGAATTTTCATGAGACCTGAAGGATGGTTGGGAGAATTTCTGTAATGGGATATACAGCATTTGCTTCATATTTCCATGGGGTACAAAAACGAGATTCTAGCCAGGCCTGCAAAGGCAAGGTCCAGCATATAAAAAGAAAACAGATTTGTGACATAATCAGAGGTCAAATGTTACATATGCTAAAGGACTTAATATATTCTTACCATAATTTTCAAAATATAGCTTAACACATGAAAATTTAACTTTATGAACAAAACTGCTATTATATCAGGAATAATATTGATAATAATAATAATAATAATAATAATAATAATAATAATAATAATATCTTCCTTGAATTGACAACATAGCATCATGTGCCTTGAGTAATTATTATTGTATTTATATAGGTCCTTTAAATGTTTGACCTTCACATAATATTTTTTGTATCACTGTGACTAAATTACTCATAAGAACAATTTAGAGGATGATAGTTTTATTTTGGCTTATGATTTCCAGAAATGTTAGTCCATAGTCCTTGGCTCTGTTGATTATTGGACCATGATAAACAGAGAAACATTGTTGGCAGAAGCTTATAGAGAGGAATGTTTACCTTGTACTGGAAATGAATTAGGAAGAGGATAAAAGAGCAGAGACCATGTATTATCTTCAAAAGACTGCCTCCTCTCCCACTTCTCTCAACTGCATACAATGTATACATTTCTTAAAACAAACAAGTTAATTTTATTACAGAAAATATACCTTCATCACTATTGGGATTTGGGAGTATACTTTATTCAAACCATAAGAGTTTTAAAGATGTTTTGGTAAAGAGATGTTTAACTTATTTTTCTTTAAGGGATAAGATAATTGAATACTATGGATGTGAATGCAATACAATGATGTGGCACTTTATAGAAGAATATTTCTATTAATAGTATTAAGGCATTTGGAAAATCTTTAATTTCTAGGAAGTTTATGCTTTTATATGCCAGTTAAATGTTAAGATTATTTAGGAAAACATTTGGATTCTCTACATCTTAGCATTCTCTGCTAAGGTATGTACAGAATTGTAGTCTGGATACAATAAGACCAGATTGAGAGAGAAAACCATTACATATCACATAAGATATCAAAGTCATATTTATTAGCTCCAAAAATTATTGTAAGAAGATAACAAAAGAGCACTTTGGTGGATAAATGTTACCTATTTTCTTCCTTTATTATTGCCTGATTTAGAGTATGTGAACCAAGATAGATGTTATAAATCTGAGGAAAATCATAGAAATCAGTGACCAGGATAAATGTCCAGAATAAGCTGTATATTGTTCTCACATTCAATTTTTTTTTTCTGTATCCTGAAAACAGTTTCTAAAGTACCCATAGTCTTACTGATCTCACTGTCTTATGGAAGGGAAGATTACTCTCTTGCAAACTTTATTAAATTACTTTCTAGTCACTCATTTAAGACAAGCAAGAAAAATCTCTTGCAAACTTTATTAAATTACTTTCTAGTCACTCATTTAAGACAAGTGCTGTAGAATTGATTGCTACCACCCCATTCACTTCAGTTGGCCAAAGGAGCCTCATGGGTAACACCAAATAACTTAAGCTATAGCCAAGGCTATTGGCTGCTGCCCCAAACTGATGGTAAGTCTCTCTTACAGAAGACAATACATACACAACTCATTGAATATGGTAAAGTCTGAGCTGGTGTCTACCTAAAGTCTTCATCCTTACTGACCAGTGCTCAGCATACTAGAAAGTATTATTCTTTGATATACATGGTGACCTATATGAAATTATGGCACGAAGCTTGTGGAACTAACCAACCAAGATACGATCTGATTAAGACCCAGTTGATAAGACAAAACTCAGGCCAGACATTGCTCAGGTGTCCAAGATGTGAAACTAAATAGACTACTGTACTTTTCAGAAAGTCAAGTACTAATATTCTGATAAAGGAACATAGCAACAAAAATGACTCCAAATGACATTCTTCTACACTTATAGATCAGTGTTTTGCTCAGCCATCATCAGAGCAGCTTTTTCCTGCAGCAGATGGGAACAAATATAAAGACTCACAGACAGATATTATGCAAAGAGTGAGAGATCTTGTAACACTTGGTCCTAATGGGATGTCTCCATCAATTCCCTCTCTTCATGCCTCAGAATCCTGTGGATGAGGAGGCAGATTGTAAGAGCCAGGGAGGATGAAGAACACTAAGGAAACAAGGTCTTTTATATCAAAATGAGCAAAAAGCTCATGTGAACTCACAGACACTGTGGCAGCACTCACAGAGACTACACATATTTGGACCCAGTGGAGTTCCAGTGCTGAGAGAGTGCACTGTAGCCTACATTCCAAACTCACAAGCTTTATCCAGTTGATAACCACTCAGAAATGAAAACTTTGTTTTGTCCAACAGTTTCAATGGGTGTCTACCTTTCAGATTGTGCTGTTTTCTGATTATTATTGTTAGGATATAAATGCAGGTCAATTTTGCCTATATTGAAAACAAACACATAAAACTCATTTTTGAACTCCAATCTTTAACATATGCACTAGGAACTAATTCTACTTTTCAGGATGGAAAAAAATTCTCTTTAAGTATTTAGCATCTGCTTTTACTTCTTTATCTCATTTAAATAAACCTTTTGTCTCTCTTCATTTTCTCCCCCCCACTCTCTATCTGTGACTCTGTGTATATGTTTATACCCCCATTTCTCACTGCTTCCTTCTTTAACTGTGTCTCTGTGTGTGGTATATGCCAGATGTTAGCAAATCTGAGCGTGGAGGCCAGAGAAAAACACAAGGTGTCTTCTTCTATTGCTTTATAACATTATTCATATGAGGCGAGACTTTTCAAAGAAGCTGAAGCCAGGTGGGCAGCATATCAGCTCTGATATTTTTTGTCTTAATTATATTCCTTGAATATAACTATCATTCAGACTAATGGAACAATCATAAATGAATAACTAATCTTTTCTCTCACCTCTACTGTCTTCTTTTTACCTTTCTTTCATTCTACATCTCAAACAGATACAGGGTCAGAAAGAAAGAAAGCTCTGCATGAGAGAAAGAAGAGAAGACTTCAAAGGATGAGATGAATGAACTTTAATGAGTGAATGCCATGTAAAGAACAGAATGCTTATAAAGGAATCATGATGATGAGTACAATGCCATATATTTCTGTAGTCATTACATCCTATGCACACACTATCATGCTCAAATCACATGCAAACCAGAATATGTCCATCTTAACAATTAGAAAATGAATATGGTAAAATATTATCTCAATTTATTATTAACTCTTGTCATTTTCCCAAAACCCCATCTTTCTATCGTGCCACATATAACCTTTATGTTTTAATGAGTTTTGAATTTCACCCTGAAGTTAGAGAAGATTTTAAGTATTTTAATGATGTTATCAGATTTGTAGGTTTATATGAATGAAATATAGGCAAGGAGAAGAAATATAAAGACCTAAGGGGAGAAGAAAATAATTAGAGAAAGATTTACAATTTCTAAGAAGAAAGTAATCTTCGCAGATGTTGGTTTCAGCCAGTATTTAGCCATAAAATGCATCTCATGAGACATCACTTCAATGTCAACAGGCCACATTTAGAGACGTCAGTGATCATAATTATAAATTATTGCATTAGTGCATACAAAACAGCAGCATTTCTAAATGGAGCTGCTTTGGAGATGTGACAACAACTAGCAAAGGGTGTTTGTAGGAGAATAATCAATTCAGTCCATCAGATATAGAGAGTAGGATCTCAAACTAGTCTTTCTTTTAGAAAACTTCCAAACATAATGTTTATATGCAGATTTTTCTAAATTAATGCTTCATTTGTAGCATAGATATGTGATTACAAACTTCTTTGTCTAATATGCAGTATTGTACTGTTTAGAAATTAATTGCCAATTCTTAGTATTTTCAGAATTCTTTACAATTTCATATTCTGCATCCTTCCGAGTTTTCTAATACAAGACTCTGGTTATGTTTTCAAATTTATAAGGAAAACTGAACTATACATTAGCAATGTGATGAGGCACTGAATTTAGGGGTAAAAACATGAATTAAGAGTATTTCTGCAAGTAAGACTGCTGCAGAATTTGGCTGTTCTTTTGTTTAGGAATACACAGAAAAGTATGAATATTTATGCATGCATTTAAAGAACACTTTCTTCTTTTAAATGATATGATTTTAATATAAAATATCCACCTGATCTTCTCATATTTGCATGTGTTGTTGTGTTCAGAATTCTGTCTAGAAACTGAGTCAGAATTTGTGTAAAGTTTTACTTTGCATGGAATGAGAGTTAAGCATGCCATCTTGCTCTAGAATCTTTTCATTGCAAGTGAAACAAATACTCTGTGAAATATATATGTGTTTAGAACACACTCTTAATGTCATTATGAACTTAGACTTAATGACTAGTCTTTGATGACCCTTCAATCTATAGATTAAAAATATGTTACACAACCATTATGCCATTTTCTTTATTTACTACTGAGATATAAATCATTCTAAAATGTATATTCAAGTTTTCAAGCTATAGCAAATTGCACCATTTAAGTATTTTCTTTTCTTTTCTGCCCACTCCATCCCAACTCAGCCCATGAATATCTTATGTTTTAATTCTTCATTTAAAGCCACATTTCCCAAAGAACTAAATTGTCTTATATTTCTGATCTTATACTTAGATTCATGAGGGGATAACAATATTATATTCTGGCCTTTGTCAGGTGATGTGGTCAATTTTTGATAAAAAGAATCTTTTACATGTGTGCTAATAGCTTCTCCTACACTGGATTTTCTATGGAGCTACATTGGAAGAAGGCTGAGAGGGTTGTACATGCTTGTATAACCCATACAGTGTCACTTTCTTCTTCATGTGAATGCTCTATTGCCTGTGTAACCAGCATGAGGAGGTACTTCACTTTGTGAATATTATCTGCCCTGTGTTCAGTATATGTCTTCTTGACCATTCCTTTATATAGCTAGCTAAATATTTATGTTGTCCCTAGTGTATCATCTGCCATGGCATATACACATCTACCCTTCAGTGGCTTGAGGACTTAGTGGGTAAGCATATTTCAACATTTAAGACACTGAAAACAGAATTCATAAACATTCATGATTGGTAATCATTCTCTTGCCATGATAGTTTAGAAGTAGAGATACATTCTGATAGGTGTTCTGATATATCTTACTGACTGTGATTGGCTACACAGCACATGTGAACATTTGTTGGCATTAAAAGGAGGAATGATTTTTTTTAATATTAGGGATAAAGAATGTTCTGTAGAAACTACAGAGCTAATTTCTGGAATAATTGGGAACACAGGGAGGGTTTTTGTTGTTATTTTTCCATGGTTCATAATTATCTAGTACTTCCTACAGAGTGAAGTAGCATTTTTTCTCATTAACAAAATCAAATTATGTAAAACTCTCCTGAGCCTTCATTCTTTTAGCTGACAACGACCAATCATACACTTAATCTTTACCATCTGTTTTTGTTTATACAAATTGAAATCATTACCTTTGTTCTTTTGTAGGCTCCTACCTCTGCCAGTTTTATTATTTTTATATTCTTGTGGTATAAACACATCTTTGGCTCTCTATCACTTTTTCTACAAATAAATCCCCCCTTTACTAGTAATTGGTCAACTATTGCATCTCAGAAAATAAAAACCTGATTGTTTAATGTAACTCAATTAAAATAGGCTTTTCATGCAATGTGGCAATCAACAACTTAATATATAGTAACTTGTTTGAAATTTCATAACTTAATGTACTACAATGGATTTTGATCAATGCTCTCTAATACTGTTGTTATTTTCTCTATGATACATAGTTACTTTGCAACTCATTTTTAATATTTTCATCTACAATATGTCAAGCATTTATTTAACGTACTGCCATTGCTTAACTTCATAGATTGTTTGTTTATGATTCATAATAGAGATCTCACACAATACATAATTTCAATTTTTGCCTAGTTATGTTATTTCCATAAGGTAAAATCTTTAACTTCACAATAAAATTGTAAGGCAATAGAAATTTTAATTTGACATGTAGAATTAATTCTAGATGTTTAAGTTACAATATAAATGTGTAGTCATGCATATAGTAAATTGTAAATAAGAGACTTGCTCGAAATTGTGTGATGAAACATATTATATAAAAATATACTGAAGTTACCAGAGAATTCTTTCACTGATTAAGAATTATTAGTTCTCAACCAGGTGTTGATGGTGGTTACTTTAATCCCAGTACTTGTGAGGCAGTGCCAGGTACATCTTAATGAGTTTGAGATCAATATGGTTTACAAAGTGAGCTTTAAGACAGCCAGGACTCTCATACAGAGAAATCCTATCTTGAAAAACCAAAAAAAAAAAAAAAAGAAAGAAAGAAACAAAGAAACAAAGAAAAGAAAAGAAAAGAAAAAGAATCATTACTTCACACATATTGTGGTTGTTTTACATATTTTATTTTTCCTTTTGAGAGTAACTATGTTAAGGTAGACACATTTCACCTGTACTCTCATTGGAAATACTGAATTAGAATTGGAATGAAATCTGGAGCACTGTTTATCATCTTTTTGAAACAGATGACACCCATTCCTTCAATGAGGAGCTCATTTTTTCTTTTTCTTTTTAAATTTTAGCCTACTCATATTTTAATATAAAATATATGTACGTATGTATGTATGGTATAATTACCCTCCACAAGAAAACTTTCCCTTGATTTATACTAAAGTTCACTTTTCCTAAACTTGGTGTTAATTTTCCTAGAGACACCCATCCTTGAACTCAGCCAGTCTGAATTTTCCAGAGCCAACTGTCCCTTCTGCCACTGTACACAAGCACCCCTGTCTTCAAGGAAACACATAATGCTGAAGGCTCAGGAATGACTTTTCAATCTTCCTAGTTCTCTTGTATTTTAAACTTGACCTGACATTATGTCTCTTCCAGTAACTGTGCAATTAATGATTGCTTCTTTCTTTATCTTGGGGAATTCTCCAAATATCTTTTTGCTAGTTGCATTTTTAAATTTAATTATTTATTAATATTTTATTTCATATGTATTTCTGTTTTGTCTACATGTATGTATGTTCATCACATGTCTACAGTGCCCATGAAGATCAGAAGATGGCATTATGTCTTCTGGCATTGAAATTACAAAGGTTGTAAGCTAACACATGGGTGCTAGGGGAAGAATTTATGTTCTCTGAGAGTAATGAGCACTCTTAAACACTTAGCCATCTCTCTGTTCCTTGAGAAGACATTTTTCTACAATGATCTCTTTTAACATAGTATGTACAGATATTTTATTCATATATTACCCAAAGGAGACAAATTTGCACATTTAGTATTTTATATGTACAAACAGTGATGGAGGAGGAGGCAACGATAGTTAAAAGACTAAAGATATTAAAGATTTACATCATTACAAAATGGTGTTTGTAAGAAAACACAAATCAATGTTATCATCATGGTAATTAAGGCCACGACAGAAGAAATATATTAGGGATTTTGTCAGATAATGTGGAGAAATATTCTTATTTAGACAACAAAGCAAATTATATGATTATATCAAACTTTTGAAGACATACAAGGACAGAGATTCAATAATAAGTTTTTAAAAGCTTCTACCATCTTCCCAAATCTACTAAAAAGTAGACTTATTTATCCAAAATAAATTTTAGTTAAATTTTCAAAAGTCATCAGAGAAAAATAAATTGACTTTTATGTCCAGAAATGAAAATTAGGCATTTAGACATTTAAAGCTCATAAAATAACTCAGAGTATACAGTTAATATAGTGATAATCCACAGGTTATCACTAGCACATTTATGAACTTATATGTACTCAGATTCACATACATTAGTGGATTTATGTGTATTTCTATGGTGTGTGTGTGTGTGTGTGTGTGTGTGTGTGTGTGTACAATATTTTTCAGAATATAGGTGTATTGAAGAGTTTATCAATATTGTCTTGTTATTTTGGATAAGATATATGTCCAATTTCAATTTTTGACAGATAAATTCAAATGTTATTAAATTCTCATAAGCAACTAAGAAAATAAACAACAAATACTATTTAAATTTGTTTAATCAAAACATGAACTTAATTATAAAAATAATTGAATTGTCATTTAACAGAGTTAACAAATAACATGTTCCTATAACCACAAACAAAATATTGAATTCATGTGCAGCATTGGTGGGAAGATTGCTGATTTCATTTCTGATACTTTTTAACTTTTTGAAAAGCTTGACTTTTCCCCCCTGTCTTTTATTAGTGAGGTTTTATTAGTGAGAACTCTGCTTTACTACATTGCCTTACATGCTGCAGATCAAATGAACTGGATTCCAGAACATAATTCTTGGAGACTCACTTGTTTTTATATCAATTCTTTACATTCTAAGAGTATACCATAGTATTTTCTCCAATTGTTTCAATTTAATTGAGTACTATGTTTCAATTACATTATTAAATCAATTTTACACTGAAAGCTCTTGGACACAGTACAATAATAGTATTAATGGCCTCTACCAAAAAAAATAATGTGAAATTGGATTGAAGCTGATACATGCTGTAATTTCAGCGAACATTTGAAATAATGGAGAAGATTCAAGTAGTTTAAGATAGGGATTCATCATTAAATAGTTGATGCTTTTCAAATTCTAAGAACAATAAGGAAAATAATATAAACAGGTACAGTAAGAGGATTTATTGTTTATTATTTCTATTAAAGAAAACTACGGGGAAAGTGGCATGGAGGTGTGGCAGGAAAACCTGCTTAAGATGGGCATGGTGTTCCTAATGAAACAGCAAGTATGAATTTTGAAATATGACAAATATTCATGTGGGTGTGATAAAGTCCCATGAAAATTGCAAAGATCATAACTGACAAGTAAAATATTTATAGTATATCTTTGTGTTATGTAAAATTAAATATATGGAGAGAAGAAAATAGCTGGAGAGAGATGCTGATTTTAATCTAAGCACACAGTAAAAACACTTTAGTGGTGTGAGTACACTTTATTTGTTGCTTAAATAAATAAAGCTTTAATAACACATGCAATTAAAAATAAATAAATCATAAACAGAGAAATACTCATACCTGTTGAAGATACTTTTAAAGTATATTTATATTTCTCTAAAGTTATTCATCTTATGAAATATTTAGAAAGATATATATGAACTAAAAGATGAATTATGGAATTTTTATAATATCAGTTCTTTTTATAAAATGAACCAATTTTCGATTAATAAAAAGTCTATAGATAATTTATGACACCTCTCTACTATTAAAAGCATAAAATATTTCCTAGAGAGCTAAAAAGTGTAGATAATAAATGCCCCCTCTCAGAAGTCTTAATTTCAATGAGATTACTATATTCTAATGTGTGTGTTTTTTTGTTGTTGTTTTTGGCTTTATGTTAATTGATTCTGATTTTTCTCATAGAATCGTTATGGATTTAAAACTTTATTGTTGAGTAGTCATGTATTTATATTTGAGCAGTGTGTACCTTCTTCATCTCTTAACATGCAATTTCACTTTACTTACCTGGTTCGATAGTTGATAAATAATCAGTGTTCCCCTGGTTGTTTTCAGTTTTTGTCTTAGTGAATTTAAGAATTTATATTGTGCAAACAGAAACAGAGAGGATAAGAAGATGTCAAAAGTGGAAAGTTGGAGCATGTAAACAAGTAAAACTTAAAATCTTGTATATATCCATGGTAAAGAAGCTGCAATAAATAATATCGATGAACAAATAGACAACTTGGCCCAAGGTATGAAATTTATGGAAGGAAAGCTAGTCTCATATAGTTTTGTCACAGTTATATATTACAGTAAATTTACATTAGTTTACTGATACATGTATTGAAGGTTGGAAATAACATTACAATTATGATAAACCCATATGAACAATCATATACAGCCTGGTTGTGTGTGTAAGTTTAAAATTATTTTTAAATACAAAGAAACAGAGTTGTTAAAACTATTACCATGTTTAGTTTGTATGACTGAAGTTATAAAAAGTATTCCTTTATTGTGCGTATGCATGAACATGAAAGTGTACACACATACCATCACCACCACCACTAGTTAATGAAAACTGTGAGACTGATGAAGTCTCTGAAGTGAGACTTCAGACAGACAGCTTCAGACAGACTTCAGAATTAGACAGTTGCTAAATATCCAAGGCTTTCAAACAAAAAAGTTCCTGTATTAACTTCCTATAAAACATATATGTGACCATGGATATATGTTTTTTTCCAGCCACAATTTATCAATGTGAAATAAGAAAGCTGTGCTGAATTTTTAGTCCCTAATCTTTCTAAAGCACATTCTGGAAGCTAGATAAGAATTGCTATATGGTGTTAGCTACTTCTCATGGTTCCATGTTTCCCTTCAGCACACAGAGTCAATGTCAGAGGAAAGATGTAACATGCTATTTGATGAAATTACTGATTAGACTACTGAAAATATTTTTCCTTGATTGTGTTTGTGAGTATATGTATGTACAGTTTTAAGTGTATCAGTGTATGAGAGCACCCATGTGCTTTAGAATGGAGATCAGAGGTCAATATCATCTGATGTCTTGCTTGATTTTGCTCCAAAACCTTTTTGAGTCTTTCATGATATCTAGAGCTTGCCTATTTTGCCATGCTGGCTAATGAGCTAATGAGCTCCAGAGTCCCCCTGTATTCAAATCCTAAAGACAATGGGTCATTGTCATGAACTAGACACAAAACTGATACAAACATAGATAATAATGCAGATAGGAATTCATGTGTGCCACAGTATTGTGTGGAGGTTGTAGGATAGCTTGTGAGAGTCATTTCTCCCCTATATCCATGTGGTTTCCGGGAGTAGAAATCAAGTTATTTTATGGTTGAATGCAAGTGATTTTTCCCAGTGACCATTTTCCAAACTTGATTATTTTTAAGACACTGTCTCACTGTTGATCCATGGTTTTCTTAGAACTATCTAATTCAGGCTGGAAGTGAACATTTGGAGACACTCTGAACTCCTCCTTCAAATGCTAGGATTAAAGGTATGTATTCTCATGTCTGGTGAGACTTGTGGTCTCCTAAGAAGGGCCCACCAAGTGGTCTGGTTCCATTTTGACCATGAGTATGTGCCAAGAATTTGCCTGTCTGTATGTGGAAGAGTGTTTCACATGTACCT